CCAATCTCCCAATTCCTGTATTGCCTCCTCCAATCCGCCAATCCCCCAATCCGCCGATTCGCTGTGTCATCCATCGAAGGCACACATGCGGAAATTAATCCCCCGCCAGTGCTCACATAACAATTGAGTTGTCACCGAGAAGATATATAACTTTCTGTAGGATGTGCCAAGTTTTCACTAATAGCCGAAAAAATATCAAAAGATAACAATTGAAAATGCCGCTCAGCCAGTTTCAATTGATATGGGGCAATCTGCGAGATTCGAGCTGGCAAGCGCAATTTATGACAGACCGGGCGGCATCAGACACGCCGGCAACAATTGCAGCAGAAAACCAGTAGCACCAACTGCCAACTACGAACTACCAACAACTACCAGGCCAAGTCGAGCGGCAATTAATAAGTAATTGCCGTTGACGTCGTCGGTAGTTGCCAAAGCAGCAGTAGCGGCAGAAAATGTTGCACCTCCGATTCGTTCTTTTGTTCGGCTCGATTCCAGATTACGCATATTTGGGTCAGCGTTTGTTATCAGGGCGCCACGTATTTATGTCACCTGGTTAAATAATCAACTCTTGGCTTAATTACAGCCAGCAACAATGGCCAACTCGAAGTGAGTCAGTGGGGCTTTGCGGCTTTTCTTTCCCTGGCTTTTCCTCGTCGAGATGGCCTTTTTGCGATTGCCTCAACTTGCACCCATCTCCATGCACTCACATCATGTACAAAACATATGTGTTGCCCGTACAACCGAGATGCGAATTAGTTGCTTATTGTTCGGAGTAATTGTTTCTTGTTTGCCTGTTGCCGCGTAAATGAAAGTCACTTTTGATTTGGATTTTGTTATGATTTCGCTGTTCGTTTAGCGTGTCAGTGGCGGAAAATGAAAAAGTTCAAGCGGAAATCACCGCGAAAATTACATTTTTGTTTGCTTTTAAGTCCGAAAACGTAATCCACAGCCGTATTAAGATAAGTTCATAGCTCAAACCACGATTCTAGAGTCCCCACTTTGAACACCAAACAAAAGACTCAAGTAACGAACTTGACTTTGGCACGACAAGAAAAATGCTTTTGTTGCTTTTGTCTTGCCAATTTTAAGCGCGCGTCTGTAAACGACAACAAGTTCCCAAAATATCAAAGTTTTTTATCGTGTTGTTTTTGTGTGGCAAACATGATTATGACTGTTGAAAGCTCTTGTCATTTGGTTGCCTTCGCGCGCTTGATTGTGCTTGAAAATATCAAACAATATCGAGGAATTAAATGCGGAATTTGTTTCTGACTTCTTTGATTTATTGATTTGATTTTTAATGGCAAACATGTGAGGTAGGCGTCTCTAATTGGCTGTCAGCTGTTGGAATTGAATCGGTGTCTGATATTGATACCAATTTGTGAGTGTTGCCTACTTAAGTAGTGCCTAATAGACGATTATTGACGGTTTATTCTTGTTTATTTTTATTCGTAAGCTCAGAGGCACCGCCGAGGTGGTTTTCATGGTGAAGTATCAGTGGGAACTGTTTTCGGACATAAATTTATTGCCCGACACATTTAATAGCCCGCAGTGAGAACGGAACTTTTAGATTCCAGCCTTGGACGACACCTCTTAAAAAAAACCCATTAGTGTCTTCATATTTATATGATTTTTTTTATGATTCACGAAGCCACCCAGCAACCAGTTCTTTGGACGTGCTCGCGATGAGACAAATGCGCATCCTTAGCGCGACCCAAATGATGTCACGCGCCCGAATTAGATCCTGCCTAAGAGGTAAACAAACACACAATTGATTCAAATAATACAGAATCAGGTTCCCCAAGCAACTGTAAAATAACAAACGACTATCAGCATATCAAAACTTAAGTAAACACAATATGCGTAGAAAGAAAGAAAGCTTGGCGAAACTTGTTCTGCGGCTTTATGACTGACTAAGATTTGCTCATTTTTCATTGTTTACCAAATGAATGGGGGAACATTGATAATTAAGATTATTAGCTATTAAAGCTAAATGTTATTTTTGGTGTCCAAACAACTCGTACTAAAACAAACTCCGAATAAAAAAAGTTGCTTTGCACCCAAAGAAATACGATCTGATTTGTTAGGCTTCCAAACGAAACCAATGCTATAAAATGTTTATGTGCAACTTACTATCCAACTTGGAAACTTCTTCTCCATGAAGTTCACCTTAGACCATGCAGATCAAAATGCCATTCAGCTGGCAGCCCTAAAATGGCCTAAACGTAGCATGTCAGACCATGGAGGTCAGCATCTTGGCCTGACATTTAGCCTGCCGCCTGAATGTCCATATATCTTGCTAGATATATGCTAGAAACGGCTATGGCTATATCTGGGTGGATGGGTTATGTGGCTGGGGTCCATTAAAAGACTGGCAAACGCTACGCAATTCGCAACGCACGTGTGTCTTGATGAACGAGCAGAATGCTGGCATTTAGTTGTTGAGTGGATATAATGATCATATTTAAAATCGTGATGTAATTGAACGGTTTACGCATGCGACTAAATAACTATTATTATGGAAAAGCTTGATGCAGCATGAATTTTGATAGATTATAGTTAAATGCCTGAGTTAAAGACATCATTTGCTTTCAACACCTCAGCACTCTCAGCCAAGTACCGTTGCAAAACTCACACAATTCCTTTGAAAAGTTCAAGTTCGTTGGTTTTCGTTTTCTATTTGTTCACGAAAAAAATTGACAAGTGTTATTTATGGCTCAAGTGCACTCTACTGACATTTTGCTAGCTGACAATAACGACTAAAAAAGTGGATTTTTTGGCTCGTTGCAAGTTCGTTGTCAAAGTCTTTCGATTTTTCATGGCTCCCCAAAAATCCCTCAAATGGTCTCAGTAAAAACCAAAGACAAAATGATGAATCGTAATATTAACGCGATGAAAAACCCCACTGTGTCCGCCTAGAATATGTTGAAATCTTGACTTAAAAAAAACCTAAAAAATACAAAACATGAACATTATTTACACATCATTAATCACTAAAGACCGCAAAAACAACCAAGCACTTTAAGGCAGCAACAATTGTGAGGCGGTTGTTTGTTTTGTGTACAAGGAATCGTTAGATACTTTTACTCGTATCTCTCAGATGCGGCTCATTGGCTTTTCAGCGATGCGCACGCAGCGCCAGTTAACGCATCAACACTTGAATGGGATACAGGCTACACGACTACGGCGATTTGAGACAACACTGCCTTGGTTGCTCGAGGGGAATCCTCCTGTTGGGTATTGTTGCTTGAATGACTTTTTAATTTATTTGCCATTTCTTTCGCTGGAAACGTTAATGAGCAGACCAGACCAGACCAACCCGGCCAGACTAGACCCCGGTTAAGACTCTAGCAACAAGCACTCGCATTTTGAACTTTTATCTGGCCATCTGCAGACAACAACGGGCAAAATTATATTGTAGCATTTTGTTAGCCCGGCTGGGTTTTGCTTTATTTTTGTTTTTTGTTTTCGCCTGCCTTCGGCTCGTCTCCCTAGTCAACTTTAACCTCCTGCCACATAAAACAAAAGCAGGGCCCCCTTTCTCCTCCCACCAGTCACCTCTGTGGGTGTGTGTGCGATGTGAAAGACGTTAAGTCACACATTTGGCCTAAATTTGTCTTTTCTCTTAGCTAGCCTTTCCTTTGTTCATTTGCGCCACGAGGCTGTACTGTAGAAGAAAACAAAACTGTGGCACCTCTTGACATTTAAGGCGCATTTCCCAATTTCTGCACTACTTTCTGCGGCCCTCTGGCCGAGTTGCTCACCCAGTAATCACGGGCTGAGCAGCAATTGAAATTATCTAACACAAAAATGCTGCAGCTGCAAATGGCTGAGTTTTTCGTCTCTTTTGGCCCAGCCCCCTCCCAAGGGTTTGTTCTGACTTGAGCAGCTACCGCTGCCGTTCATCCTTGAACTGTGTGCTCAGAGCCGCCAGCATTATCTTAGATTCGTTAATAACAATGCCAAGACGAGAACAACAATTGCGGTTGCAAATTTTGCAACTCTAAATTTATGCAGTAAAAATTAGAAAACCTACGAAAAAAATTGAAATGCATGCCGGCAATTTTGAGGCTTTTAATTGCTGTATCTATTCATCTAAGCAAGCCAGCAATTTGCAAATTAATCATCAGCCAAAAGTCACCCCAGGCATATTGAAGATTTATGGAAATTGTTCGTCATTTAAGTTGCCTAGAACCAATTAGCTTTTACATTGATCGCTAAAAATACAAGAAGCCAGGCTAATACAGATTTTTTAATGGTAATGACTTTGAATATACTAGTGAGCCAACTTGATTAAGTTATTAATTTTAATGGATTAATAATCGGATGCGTATGGATGCTGATCGTTAGTTTAAGAAGTGGAAATCGGATATAAAATGGTAAAGATCTTAATTTCAAGGATACAAAAAATTAATAATTTATTAAATATAAGGGTACCTTTCCTGCTTTTCTAACTTTTTTATAACTTGTATTTTATGTCTAACATTTTACTTAACCCATCCTTTAAAAAGAAAAATGTTCATGTCCCTAATTTTAGTATTTTATTGCTATTTAGGGAATATACAAAATAAAAAACTCATTTAAAATATTAAAAACTTGAGAGCATTATTATTTTCTCAAGTCCTTGACAAGTATTATAATTTTGTACTCATTCACTATCTTTTTCTGGCTTGTGAAGATGCAAGTTTACTTGCATAACTTACAAGAGCCACCATAAAATGGCCTCTCCATTATGCAGCCAACGCATTGACATTTTCCAGCATCTTTGGCTTGCTGACTGGCCAAAAGTAGTAATAAAATTACTTAAGAAATGCATGCAATAAATCTAAGTAAGATGATGCTTTGTGAAAGGCAACGACTTGAGCACAAACAATTTTGTATCCATTCATGCGTACGAAATGCGTTTGGCATTTTATTAGAAGCCTCGAAGCTATTCAGCTGTCGATCTGCCAAGCTGTCGAAATTCTCGGCTAGATATTCTCAGCTCTTCTCGGCTCACTCACCTTTAAGCGGCATCAGCATCATTGGCAGTACTCTGAATGTCAGTTTGTGGAGCAGTAACACTCAGGCAACTCGGGTAAGTAACTGTGGCAGCAACTCAATCTTCCACAGCTTCCTTTTTTGCTTTCAATTTCGTGATTGAAGTAATATGGAGGTTTCGCCGTAAACTTATTTATGACAAAGTTTTCCGCTCTCCGACTGGGTTATTCGTAGCGTTTTGTTGTTTTCGTTTTTCTTGTGAATATTACTTAGATTGTTGCATATTATTCGTTATTGTTGTTTATGTTATCTCACTATGCTCGATTATTTGGTTTATTATTTGTTATGGGCTAGAGAGGGATCCGGTTGTAATGCACAGATATCACGATTTAGTTGATTTTTTCGGTAGTAGCACAAAATCACTTCAAGCTGTTCATGTCTGCATTATGAAGACGTCATTAAGACGAAACCAAAGTTTTGTAATCTCAAAGAAAATAAGTTAATTAGTTACAGTTTGTTGTACGATTTCGGCCAAGTTCATATGAATGGTAGAAAAGTAAGAAATAAATCATTTGAATTAAAGGAAATATTTGCAGACTCAAGCTTGAAGGGATCTTCTTCCTTTTTTGGCATTAATGGGGAATTAATGCTTCAAAAGATGTTCACAATTGTTCCTATAGCATTAAAATCCTTGATGAATTTGTTACAGTTCACAAACGTCCCAAAAATAACAGTTTCTACTACTTGAAAAGTAAAAAAATATCTTTTAAGATCACAAGAGTTTCAAGGGTTGAACACAAAGAGCACTTTATTTTTCTTAAATTTATCACATCAGATTGGTATGAAAATACAGTAAGAGCCAGAGCCAGACGAACAGAAGACGTCTTCACCCGTACGATATTCACATTTGAATGTTTCAATTGGCAAATGCGGCGTCCAACTTTAGTAGTTGAGCAGGCCGCAGACTCGAAACTCTGTTTAGCGAAAACGCTCGCAAAGCTGCTGCAAACACAGCAAAAGCAAAGCCAGTCGTCGTCGCCGATCCGGACGAACCTACCGCCAAACGAAGATCGCTGCCACATCTTCCTCAATTCCCAAAGAAGCCCGAAGACTGGCCAATATCCAAAAGCAGCAGCAAAGCCAAACAAAAGCAGATTGTCTTTGCAACCGGTCCGGCGATCAGCTGTTCGCTGCGATTCAGAGAGGGGCGGAAAAGACCGAAGACAAGAGCACAAATCTTCGGGCTCCGAAGAATTTAACAGAGCTCCATCGGCGGAGAAAAGCCTAACATTTCTGTTAGGAATGAGTAATTGTTACGTTCGTCATAGCTATCTTAGGAATTTAATCAGTGTATATTAAGTGTGAAATTTTAGATGCATTTATTTTATACCAATTTTTGAATGTTTACTTTTAACTTTATCGAAAAGGGTTTCTTTAATTTCTAGGAAGAGCACACTATTATGATTAAAAGTAATGGGATAGTTTATATTTAAAAAAATATTTAGAAACTTTGTGTTGCTTTTAATATTGATGTTTTTTTTTTAGAATTATACTAGTTTTACAATTTAAGGCATAATAATATTTTCAAGTAAACTAAAAAACTCAAAATATAGAAGGTTCTGGATAATAAAGGCTTTCACAAAACAATGCTTTTTTTGAACTGTGTTATAAATAAATTGTGATTTTCTGTCTCCATATTGATGCCGTTAAACATTATTGTAAATACAACGTATACGTAATATTCGAAAGCCCTGTAATCGGTTGCCAGCTAAAAGGATTAACCTCCTTTGCATTGTTTGCCATAAATTGCATTAAATGCTGAGCACATTCAATTGAAATCGATTTCAGTCAATCAGCAAGATGACAGTTTGGAAATCCATCAGCCTTTAATGAGGAAGGGGAAGCACTTGTAGGGTTTAAGGACTGGGACGAGGGGAGTGGAGTGGGTCGGCGATGAGCTGGTCGATGGCTCGATCGCTCGTGGAAGGCATAACAAACAAAATCGCAAATTAAAGATTCGAAATGCTCGCAGTGACGACTTTTTGACTTGAGGCGTTGCTTGTTTCTTGCCTTGTTTCTTGACTTCTATTTTCTTGCTAGCCAATCTTGCTAGACAATGGAGCAAAAGGGAAGACAGCTGAAGAGTTGACAGTGGACAGTTTTTATTATGATTTTGGGGCAGCCTCTTTGGGGCCCAGCAACTCCTGGTTGCATAATATCGTTGTTTGATTTTCGCTGGGTTTATCTGCGTCTCTTTGGCTCGGCAGCGACTGCTCTTCCTTCTGCACACGAAGGCAGATGCAGATGCCGATTCATTGCGCCTGCGATTATGGATTCGGTGTAGCAAAAATGCTCAAATAATGGCAGCCGCAAATATTCCCACGAATCTCCAGCCATGGGGCACCGCGCAGCCAGCAGTAGCTATCCAGCATTGGATCATCGCCAATTGCTGGCGGTTCATGTAAAATTAACATTGGATTCTATTCAAAATCAGAAGTGATGGTCGTAATCACCCGCCAGTTGGCGCTTCTGCCTTCTGCCTGCTTAACGTGACTTTAATGGCGAGTTGGTTCTGGCTCTTAACTGGTTGGTGTAGTTCCTTTCATTAAAAGATATTGACAGTGTCTTGTTGTTTGCCCCATGCAAATGACATTGAGTCTGCGGCTTTTCTCATTAAGAATGGCAAAGCGGGCTGCATGCAATCAAAATGAATTGCTCAATTGATAACTTACAAGCGATTTGCGACCACTGAATTTTTTTTCAAGCTCATAATTAAGCCGTTAATATCCGCTGAAGTTTATACTTTGATTATATTTACAAATTAAACAAAAATAAAGTATCTTCATTAAATATTTAGAAAAAGCGTTGCACAAAAAGGCGAAATATAATAAAGAGTAGAACACTTTTAAAATATATATGTACTTTTTTTTCAAGGACTTAACCTTTCACAGAAGAGGCCTATCGAATATGTTAAAACAAATTAATGTTGTTCACATGTTTAACTAAACAAGAACACTTGCCAAATAAACAGAGAGCGTAAAGAAATACACACAAATTGAAGCACTCCCTTCGTGCAACAGTAAGCATTGGGCAATAACCTTAAAAGGTCGTTTTTCGTTTTGTTGAAAAGTAATTCAGCAAATTCGGTGGGTAAAACCGAGAGATCGGGCAAAGTGTCAAATCATTGTAGAAGAATCTAAGAAGGCATCTAGCCTATATTTAACCCCAAACTATCCATCACAGAAGCATGGATGGTGGGCCCTCATGCAATCGCGGCGTTGCCTTTGCCTTTTGTGAATTGAAAAACCATTTAACTCCCGTTAATTTTAACGCCCGTTTTCTATGCCAACCCAGTTAGATTGCCACACAGTCGCCGAGCCGAAAACAAAAGCGAGAAGCAGCCGAAATACGTAATGCAAGCGATAATTATTGCCTACAGGCCCCCAAAAACGTCTCCGGACAACCACCAAAAAGAAGCCCCCCTCCTGCAAAAAAGAAGAAAAAAACAGAAGCCACCGTGGCCTAGTCGTGTAGATGATTGAAAAGCGAAGAAGATTTGCATAGAAACGTGCGATTTTCGCCATGGCTAGGGGCCCCGATCGTCTCGGTCTCAGTCATGCTGGGCCACCAAAAGTATCTGGTAGATACTCCGGGTGATACACCCACACACGGCACGGTGTCAACGTGCTCGCCAGCCTGAGAACAATACTCGCTGCCTTCAATTACTCATCCATTCATGCCGTCATTCATTCAGCTTTCGGCTAAAGCCAAAAGCCTCTTTTTTTCTTACACCGATGCAGCAGCCACAATTTGTTGATTTAATTCTTCACTTTTTTTGGGGAATCTCTGGTTGATATCTTCTAGGCGCGGCTTTTGTTTTTTCTTTGTCTAATTTGCCCACATTCTTGGCCCTTTTTCATGTGAGAGAAGTCGCTGAAATTATGTTATACATTATTGTCGAGGCTGATTTTTAAAGTTTCTCGGACTCGACCCACATTTGTCAAGATCACGCAGATAACCCCATGATTAATGCTCAAAGTTTGTATTTTTGGGTAGCTTTGATAAATGTTTTTTTAAAAACGGAATTTATTTAACATTTTTTCAACGTAATCTTCTTGATTCGAAATCCTTGAAAGGTTCTCATACTTTCTTAGTTTTCTGACACCCTTGGTGTCTGAAAGAGATATGCAAACGCAAAGGTTATAAATAAACAAGCTTAACTGTTAATTAACTTTATATTTTGGTTTCAAATGAAATCAAAAATTTAACTAAATAAAGTAAAATAAAATACATAACTTTGGTTAAAGAAATAAATATTTATTAACAAAAATAATTATCACATCTAAAACATCAACAGCAGCCACAATATCACAGAATTCGACAGCTAAATGACATAAATTTATGTTGCTTTCAAGACACCTAAACGACGTAATCTTTTGTTTAAGCCACAAATAAATTAAAGTGAATCAGCTAATACAATAAGGTTAGTTAACCAACCTGTTGGGAAGAATAGAACTCCACACTTATCCATACGAAGTGCATCATCCACCCGGAATGTTAGCTAAACCAGATAAGCGGGTGAAAAGTGATGTTAGTGCCCGAAATCTAAAATCCCGAGCTTGTCAGTGCTTTTGGTGGGCCATTTATCCCCTCTGACAGATGAACAAACGAAAGTGATATCTCAGCATTCGAACATAGTGAACAATTGTGTGCTAATGATGAAAGACAAGCGGGCTGGCCACCAAAGAAGCGAAGCATGGGTAGTTATTGCCTTGGCTGTGTCAAAGTGCCGGACTGGGTTGTAATATGGTCACGGCTTGCCGTGGATTGCAGCCAGATGCAAATGACACAGAAAAAATTTGATATTTTTTATTGAGCATTTTACAAACGGCACAACAAACCGCAGGGCATGACCTCCGACCGTGCAGAGCTCCAGCCACGAAACCCGACGACGGAGTCTTCCAAAAGGAATCACGATGGGGCCGTTTTTGTGCATTAAAATGCAACTGAGATTTATGTAAGCGGCGGCCAAAATCTGGCGAGCTGGTAGCACAGGAACCCCTCATTATCGATCGATATAAGCGGCCAGCCGAGACAGTCGATGAGAGACTGACTGCCTGAGTGGGGCCAGGAACTGCGGATAATAACTTGATCGCAGGAAAATCATTTATTGTGACACGATCGCCGATTGGGACCCGATAAACCGATGCTTGTCTTGGGGAGAGATTCTCCCCCACTCGGCATTAACTTGTTGTCATGCTGTTTGATTGCCTTGCTTGTTTTATTTCTTTGATAATATCTTTGTGGGACCTAATTGTTGGGAGATAAAATACACAGTTCCGCGAATTTCATGATTTTATTATTTGTGTGTCCAACTATTTGGCTACCATAATCTCAATGAGTAGAGCATTTCCTCATCCACTTTGTTGTCATTTGGGTTATGAGTAAACATAAGATAAAAGTGAGTTTCATTTGTATTCGTAATTCCATGCCTCTTTGAAGGGGTTTCACCACTCTGATGTACTAAAAAAAGGGCATAAAAATCAATTTTGAACGTACAAATATCATTTAAGATATGAAAAAACTTTAATTACGAATAAATTGCGGGTGCCTTTAGAAAAAAATATTTAAGACAGTTTAGCTAAGAGCTACAACATTTCTTCGAAGTGTCCTATTTAAAAAACATTCTTATGTTTTGTAAATATATCATGTTTACATAGTCTTAACACTCGTACAAATTTGATTATTTCTTTGTAAAATAAAGGTTTTTTCCATAAGTTTCATGATGTTTGGGATTGTTTGCAATCTAAAGACAACTGAATATATCCTTCATTATATATAGAAATCTGTTAAATCGAAAAATATGGGAGTCTTTAGCAAGCGCACTCGCTGGCAGTTGCTTTCCACGTTAACGTGTGGGTGAGACCTTGATGGTGCGTTATTTCAACCGCTGATATATCATGCTTTATCCTAGTGTGCGTTATGTCGTTAACTCACGGAATAACACTGGGATGGTTTTCGCCTACTCTGCCCCTCCTAAAATGCGAAAATAGTCCGGTTGGTCGACTTGACATTAGCGAGTTGATGTGGTAAGTTAACAACGAATATAGTAACTTTATGTTCATAAATTATAATAACTGACGAGTCTGTGATTGCCAGGATCGGCGCTATGTTTGGTTTCGGCTCTCTGCTTTGTAATATGATCATTTGCTTCCCGCTCGCATTCTTTGGACTTAAGAAGTGCATGTATTTCGTGCCCATACCCAATATGGTAAATAAAGATCCATCCTCAGGTGCTTACTTAGATTTCAAGACATTGTTTTGTTTTTCAGATTCACTGGATTTTAATCTACTTTGCAACCAAATCAGTGTATCTCCACATGGCTCGACTACTGTTGGGAATATCTGGTGGTACTATGATGGTTACTTTTCCTATATTTGTCGCGGAAGTATCCGATAATAAGTAAGTCATTGTGAAAAAAGCTGTGATCGATAATTTCAAGCTTTTTAAGCAGCCGATAAGGCTGCACATCAATGTTATGATCATGTTTGTCTGACATCGAGCGATAAGATAGATATCCCAGAAAAACTTTTAATTACAATGCTATAAAATTATTTTGCCAAGAATGACGATAACATGAATGGTAACACAACCAGCCTGTTCACAAGATTATTTTTACAGTGGTGTCGAATTAGATTTAGAATGTCATTCGCTTAGATAACATTTTAATAATTATCTCTAATGACCTTAACAATTCAATACTAATAACTATTCCTTTTTTCTTCAAGCGTCCGAGGAACTTTAACGTCTTTCTTTATGCTGACCCTCTGCAGCGGCCTTACTGTGGGATTTGTATTGGTTCACTACATATCATATCATGTGCTACCATGTATCGTAATTGTCCTGCCCATTCTCTTTTTCTGTCTCCTCATTCCCTTCCCCGAGCCGCCACAAGATTTGCTGAAACGGGGTCGTGATGAAAAGGCCGCGAAATCTTTCTACTTCTACAAGAATTTGTCAAAGGACCCGACGCAACAGAACGAAAATCAAGCGGAATTTATAGTTTATCGGGATAAAGTTCTAGGTGGCGGCATTAAGGACAAGGTTACCTTTTCAGATTTCTGTGAGTAAAATATTCATATTATTATATTTACTCTGGTGCAAATCAGGAGTAGATTATATTGTTTAACATTTGTATTTTTCCAGATAACAAGGAGTCGGGAAAGGCCTTTGCACTGATCATTGTGCTTCTGGTTTGTAATCAGATGTCAGGATCCTTTGCTATTTATAATTATGCGTCGTCCATCTTCACAAGACTCGGAAGCAGAATGGATCCGAATATGTGCTCGATTTACCTGGGTGTTGTGCAGCTCTTTGGCCTGTCCAGTGCCGTTGTACTTGTGGATCGAGTGGGTCGCCGATGGCTGCTGATGCCTTCGCTGGCCGTGATGGGTCTGGCTGAGCTGGGTGTGGGACTGCTAAAATCCTTTGCCTCGCAGGACTTCTTGATACACCATGGCTGGGTTGGGCTGACTTTAATGTGCATCGTGGCATATTCGTCATCGTCTGGACTGGTAGCTCTTACGTTTGTCATCATCGTGGAACTGCTGCCCTTTAGGGTAAGCTTGTGCTTGTGTGGTAAATTACATTGTTTAGGTGTTATTAATTACAGATCCGCGCCCCTGGCATCTCCTTGAGCATGTGCGGACTTAGTTTGTCAGTATTTATGGCGCTCATGACGTATCCCGCGATGCTCAGCCATCATGGATTGCATATCTTAATGTTCATGTCGGCCAGCTTCTGCCTTCTAGGCTTAATAGTGCTGGGCATATTTTTGCCTGAGACCAAAGGAAAGAGTCTGACGCACTAATGTGTTTAGTGAAACCTGGCTACATCGATTTCACGTTGTTCAGATAAGTGACAAACTGCTGTTTGGTTAAATCGGTCCTTAGTGACAGGTGGTTGTGATAACGATAAATTACTTTTACCCAGTTATAATAATAAATGGAATCAACAACCGAACTACGAGATAAAAATTGAAAGGTGTGTGGATTTCAAGGCCTCATGAAATCTGCTTCCAACTTAATGGATGTCATATAATCATTATCCTTCTGTTGCCATTTTCCCTTGATAAAGAAGCATATAGGATAGGTGTTTTCATTCTTTATGTTCGGCTCCCGGTTAAAGAATCATATTTCCATGATAAGAAATTTTTAAATTTCGAGTCATTTTTTTTAAATTGAAAATTTAAAAAACAATCATAAAGCGAGTGTAAATGCAAATAACCCTAATAAAAGAGAATTCATGTTTACAACTGTTTTGCTTGCAATGATTTTGCTAATCTTTACTAAATATTGTCGCCCAACTCATGCAATGTTCTTCAAATTTACATAGTTCTATTGCTCCCATCCAACAAGTTCAACAGTAAGATTAGCCTTACTGTCAAGGGCTTTGTTTTTTGATAGCCATTTTTTTGCAACAAAATTTACAGACTTCTTTTTCCAGACCTCTCCAAACCAAAACGTAGTGCATTAATCAGCGGTAAAAACTTAGTGACTACTTAACACTTATCTAATCTTCAACAATTTTATAATCGTCATTAATGTGTACAATCCCGAGAAGATTGGAAAGTGAGCGTATCTCGACGTGATTTCCACTACAAAAACGTTAGCCACCCAAAGTAAGAACCCTCAGTAGGCACACGACCGCCTAGCGGTTATTTTGCAATCCAAAAGCGGAACATTTTTGGGAGTCGCGAAAAATAAAGGCAGCCAAAATGACTGTCGATCCAAGTCAATCGCAGAAGCTGAGTGTTTTTAGTGCGCGGTACCGATGGCAGTTTATAGCCACCATGACGGGTGGGTTAGAGTTCGGAGGACCTCAGGAACACTTAATAAAAAACTAATTATTTACAGTGCACATAATGACGCTGACCCATGGAATTGCTGTGGGCTGGCTGTCGCCCTCTCTAAGACTCCTCGGCTCCGACGAAAGTCCTCTGGGAGAACCACTGACCATCAGCGAGGCTTCCTGGTAAGTGGTTTTCCTAAAATATGGAAGCATTTTGGTAAAGCTTTCCGATATTGACAGGGTTGGATCTCTTATCGGCCTAGGCTCGCTGACTGGCAATATAATCTTCGGACTGCTACTCGATCGATTAGGCCGTAAACTGTGCATGTATTTCCTGGCCATACCCAATATGGTAGATAACGCTTTAATTGTTTTGAAGGGGTTTCCCAAAAGCTTGAGTCACTTCACCGTGTTCTTTTCAATTCGATAGATTTATTGGATCCTTATCTACTGCGCCCAAGACGTTACATATCTTTATGCTGGAAGATTTTTGGCAGGAATGTCCGGCGGCGGCTGCTATGTAGTTTTACCCATATTTATAGCGGAAATTGCCGATAATAGGTAAGTTGCGTCACTTTCGAGTGAGGGACAACCATTCGGATTAAAGGTAATCTATTAATTATAGATTACTTCAAGTTTTACGTGCAGCTGATAAGGTCAGACTTCGTTCCTATACTCAATAATATCGGCACACATTTTTGTCTGCCTTTAAACGATTAGATAGAAGTCGGGGAAAATGTTTTATTTTTAAGGAATTACTTGGAATTATAGATTTCCTACTATTGCAATATTCATGTCACGCAAAGCTGAAATTTATTAGGTATCTTATCTTGAAAATGCAAATTTTCAATCATTTAAAATTTAACTGAAATATTATTGCGGAAGGTAACGTATTGGTTATGCTCGATTTTAATGTCAGTTTTCTATAAACTCGAGTTCTTTGAGGCCGCAAATGTAATGTAAACGTTCGCGTTATTTTAGAATATTTAAAAATAATTCAAGTAGTCTATGCACACTATTTTGATTTTATAATTGTAATTGTAAGGATTGTAGTTATAAGGACTTCAAAATAATTTAGATCCTTATAGAACCTTTACGATATTTAAAAATTTCCTTTGAGCCATAATATTAGAATATCACAACTATTCCAGCGTTCGCGGAGCCCTATCTTCCATGGCCATGATGTACGTTAGCATCGGCATGATGGTGGGCTTTACATTGGCCTCGTATCTCTCTTATTATCTGATGCCGTGCATTATCGTCGCGCTGCCGGTGGTGTTTATGCTGGCAATTATCGGCTTATCGGAGACACCACAATATTTGCTGAGGCGTGGACGCGATGATCAGGCAGAGAAGTCCTTCTACTTCTACAAGAATCTGAAGCCACCCACTTCATCCGGCAAGGAGGCTTCTAAGCATGACGCGGCTAAAACGGAGTTCGACACATTTCGGCTTCAGGTTCTCAGTGGCGGCGTCACCGAGAGTATTTCTTGGCGAGATTTCAGTAAGTGAGATAAGAAGTTAAATATAGATTAAGTTGTGTGATTATCAGCCTAATTAAAAAAGTTATTTGGAAGATCAACCTGACCAGAAAATTAGCTACTTCTACCCTACCTTTCTGATAACAATTATTACCACTTTGAAGAATAACATTATAAAGCAATAATTTGTACCTTCGCAGTCAACGTGCCTACTCTGAAGATATTCGGCCTGATTTTCGTGCTGATCATCTGCAACCAGCTGTCAGGGAGCTTTGCCATCTTCAACTACACGTCGCACATTTTTGCGGAGCTGGGCAACAAACTGGATCCGAACACCTGCACCATTGTGGTGGGAGCTGCCCAGCTGGTGGGCATCTTCAGTGCTGTGGCCCTCGTGGATCGACTGGGACGTCGTGTTCTGCTGCTCACCTCGATGGGTGGAATGGGTTTGGGAGAGCTGGCCATCGCCCTGCTGAAGTGTTTCGCCTCGGCGGAGTTCCTGGACCAGAATGGCTGGCTACCCTTGGTCATCATGTGTCTCGTGGCCTGCATTGCATCGCTGGGAGTGATAGCCCTGATCTTCATCATCATCATTGAGCTACTGCCAGCTAAGGTAAGTGCTGTGGAACAAAAGATTTATGAGAAATTGGGAATTAAACATTTTAATACTATTATTCGAGTAAACTTTAAATTTTCAGTGCATTAAAATGAGCTCACATTATTTTGTAACAACATTTTTCTCAAACAGATAGTTAAAATAAAAAAGAGAAAAGGATCACATTTTCCAAATAATGTCAGATAGTTCTTCCTTATAAATTTCTATTTTAGTAACATTTTTTATTATTGGACTTGCGATCACTTCATTTAACTTTTGCCTTACTAATTGCAGATCCGCTCCATTGGCACCTCCTTGAGCATGGCCACTTTCAGTGCATTTATCTTTGTGGCTCTGAAGATCTACCCCACCATGATCTACGATCAGGGCCTGGCTGCCACCATGTTCATGTCGGCGGGCATGTGCTTCTTCGGATTCATTGTCTTGGGACTGTTTTTGCCGGAGACCAAAGGAAAGCTGATGACGCACTGATGACATCAACCCCGGCCCAGCGGCCACGCCAGATTGTTGCTTTTGTTGGCGGTGCGAGCCCATTGCATAAGCTGCGGCATCCAAAATGCTCCCATGTCAAGAGTACTCACTCAATAACTTGTGGCACAATAGCGGCAACGGCTCATCCTGAACTCTTGAACTTAATTCAATTTTCGAGCGTTGCGGTTTTCTTTCGGATTTCTATACATAGAAATTTACTTAATTTGGTTGGGAGAAAGTCTCGGGGCTGTGATCTTGTGATTGATAAGCGCGAAAATTGTAAATGAATAGGCATAAGAAATTAATAGCTATAATTTACTTAAATATATTAGTTTGCGATTGAAAAAATAATAGTTGAATCAAGTTTTATTTAACGTAAGTTACAGACATAGGGGAGAGGTCTGTAGGTTGAGACACCTTTTGTTTTTAGTCTCCCATTTGGACATTCGCTTTTGAAACTTCACGTGTTAAGTACCGATCGAAAGCTTAGTCTTTTAGCTGTAAAATAAAGCAAAAAAATTTTTTTTTCCCTTGGGAAAACTAAAAAATAATTTTTTTTTAAAAGTGCCAAAAAATGATAATTTGAAAAAGAGGTCTGTAGGTTGAGACACTTTTTAAAGTCAATAATACTCACACAAAAAGTACTCCAAACTATAAGAAACTATTTATTTATGTTAATTTAATCAATTTTAGTTCGTCCTAAATTATTTCCCATCCATTTTTTAAGAACTTCGACCAAATAACAATTAAAATCAAAAGGCTCTTTGAACATTCACTTTTCCCCTAATATCAAAGAAATGTGCTAGGCAGAAAGTGACCTCTGTTGGCCTAAGGCCTTTTTGTATGAAAAACGGGTGTCTCAACTTACACGCTCAAAGTGTCTCAACTTACACAAAATGGGATGTTTCGGGAAAAAATTAATAACTTTTGTTCTGACTGTCACATTAAGCTGATTCTTTTTTTAATTAGTTAACAGTTAATATACTAATGTTTTAAATCTCTTACCAAGTTAATTTAAGGACGTTATTAATTTTAAATGGAATTTTGAAAAAAGTAGACAAAAACTTTTTTGGTGCAAAATGGTACACGACTCTCACAGCTTAAATCTGGCTAGAGCCTGGCTTATAATGTTTTCCCCAAAAGTTTTGTCACTAAAAAGGACTACAAAAAAAAAATAAAAAACATTTTTTTAGTGGAAAAGTTTTGAGAAAATTGAGTGTCTCAACTTACAGACTGTCTCAACCTACAGACCTCTCCCCTATAAGTAACTAAACGATCTCAAAACAAAGCTTTGCAAATTACCGTCGGAAATAAAAAAAAAGGAAATCCAAACGATGTCAGCTGGCAATACTGTCAAATTATTGATTATTGTTTAAAAATTCAAACAAGCATTCAAACATTTTTTGAATTTTTATTTATAGTTAAAAGACAGGTACTAACTCTACTTGCTTTCTAAATATTGCTTAAAAATATAGCCTGACCGTGTAGCTTTTAAAACTAAAATTTGCAAAATATTACAAAGTTTGATGTTTATAAATGTTTATTAAAACCAAACCAGAAAATTTAATTTAATTTTTAAAATTATATAATTTTTAATTTTGTACTTT